CATCCTCCGTCCGTGGAAGAAAAGGAGGATGTTCGTAGTTAGCAAGAACATTCCGGCAAAATCCACAACATGATATATGCAACAACTGGAGGACTACTGGATGTATGATTTGATGCATCACTTGTCGTACCCAAAGCTACGACAAACTTTATTTCAGTGTATCCATATTATTTTTGTAGTGTACAGATTCAGCAATGCCAAAATTTCCCAAGAAACTAACAAGGAATTCATTGCTTCGCCTAACACTTAATCGTCCGCTACAACAAGAGTCATTTTGATGGCCACTTGGGACAATCCCTGCCTTGAACTTGGCATGGCTGCAACTGTGTAGAAGAAAGAAAGGGAGAAGCTTTTACTGCTCTCTTTTGCGAAAGGAAGCTTCTTCTTCAATGTAAGAAAGATTGTGTTTTGGGCTGCTCAAGGACTGGTTAGCGGGCTGCAACAAAGATGACTGACATGATAGAGGAAGGGAAAAGAGAGGCAGAAGAATAAGGGTAGGAGTAGAAGGAGGCGGTGGGAATTGATGATAGTGGGAGGAAATATCTAAAATTCTTAAAACATCTCTATTTAATTGGGCAATGAGGAGCTTGATCGATTTTCCGTGGTGGTGGCGCCATAGAGATCTTTAATTGGAACCACAACATAAGTTTAGCGATCAAATTGACCGAAAACAAATGTTAGGATTTAAATCAACATTAACAAAAAGTTTAGGGATGAAAGAGTTTATCAGTTTTCAGTTAGCTAAAATCCTAAATCCAGCAAATTCATCCATTCTTACAATTGTACAACTTTTCTTCACAATGTTCTCAAACATTTTCTGATCATCAAATACAATTAAACCATGAAGTTTGTCTTTTGATGGTAAACAGATGAACCTAATATGCTTATAACAAGAAACAACAACTGAAATTTCCGTAGATTGTCTAGTGTTTCTTCTGAAATTTAACACGAAACAAAGAAGCCGAATTCATTAACCACAATACTATGAAATTCTTCATGATTCACGCCTAGGCTTTCTTGAATACAAAAACAAATGGATCATCACTCAAACCAAGCCATTTTTTCCCATTTTCAATAAACACACCAATGTCTCCGCACCCAACCTTGCAGGAGGCACAAACTCCAGGACAATACACAATCTTGTATCCATTCCCACTTCCATCTCTCTCTATTTTGAACCAACTGCTCAAAGTATCAGCTCCGGGACGGCCAATTACACCATTGCTCATCACATATCTCCGCCCCGTATTTTCATCGATGGGTCCAAGTTTCCAGGCGGTTGATTGCACACAAATGGTTGCTGCGTTGAAGGCAATATTGAGATCAGTAGACAAACTTATGCTCTGCTGTCTGTTGTCCACAGGCAATAATCTTAGCGGAACACCATTTGAGGCTTCAAGATTTTCTTGCATGACATAAAACGGGCACGCGAAATCTTTAGCTGACAAGGCTAGCCCTCCTCCATTCCCACCCTGGCTTGGATATATGTAGTATTTTGTGCCTGATTGGAGTTGATGGCCATCTGCATCTAGTGCAAAGTTGATTCTTGCAGGTGCTGTGGATTGAGAGAATGTTGAACAAGAAAAAGAAAGCAATATGGAGAATAGAAGCCCAAGTTTAAGGTAGGATAACTTCATATTGTATTTGATCTGGTTTGACATAAACATCAAGGGGGGGATTTATTTATACAATGCTAGCAACTATACATAACCAATTAGACAAGACAGAAACCTTCGTCTTGTATTAGATGGTTTTCGGATCCTCCATTACACCACATGTGTCAATCGTTATCATGCACCCTGTATTTAAACAGCACCTGATACGTGGAAATGTTTGACAAAATGGTACCAATAGCGATACAAATAAAATTATACATGAGGCCGATATAGAAAATAGAATAGAGATTGGCATTGAAAGTGAGACATAAGAGAATATAAAATCGTATTTGAATTATGACAAAATTAATAATGTTTGATCCACTTCACACTCCAATTGCTGGCCAATATAAAACTTATATATGGTGATTGTTTTCCTAGACTTTCTTTTATTTCTTTATTAGGAGTGGGGCTAAGCTATTGCTCCCGTGAGTTTCCCTTTGGTCTTTAGCCAAATTGTTATGCCTTTGATATTCGAATCAATTAATCTGGATTATAAAAGAAAGATTGAGGCTCTAGAATCCTAAAAGTAAAGATCTTTTGCTATTCTTTTGAGCATGTATTGCCAATGATTTAGCAAAGTGAAAACATTTGGCTAGTGGATTGTAACACATAATTGGTAGCAAGTGCTTCAGTCCCTACTGTTTAGTCAAAGCATGATCTAGTGGCCACAAAAGGGCCCTTCTATAGCTAGAGAATCAACTGGTTGGTGCTTTTGTCTGTCCTCGAATTTTATCAGTTTTTTGAACACATAAAGCAGGGAATGGTTGAGGTTTCAATGCCCTCTTGGATCCTAAATCGCATGTTTCTCAATTGATTCTGATTTTTACAAAAGCTGATTTCAGAGAGCTCAAAATCAGGATCTAAAACGCAAGTCTTTTGTAACTTCTGCTGAAAGAGAAAGGCGATAAAAACCATCATCATCACTTGACATATTTTTCCAAAACCAAAGGTTAAAAACAGGTTCCTACAAATTAGTGGAGAGTAAGCCCTTAAAGTCGTGAACCCTATGGAATACTCAAAGACCAATCAAGTAATAACAAGGTTTGCCAGCACTAAGCTGAAAAGGGCAAAAACAAAATGTGGATTCTAATATTTAATTTGGCTTCTTATCCATAAGCCACATAGCAAGGGATAAATGATAATTAAGCCTAGATTTTTTGTATGCATCATTTGGGTGTATATTACTTTAGAGTTCAGACCTTGACTGCGTGTCGTGTCATATATATCTGCAAAAGTGCCGTTCTGTGATTGCTGATACAAAAGAGAGGGCAAAATGTGTAGGCATCTGGTTGTTGTTTGTGTATGTTTCCGGTAGGTGGGAGTTAAAAAAATGGTCTGATTGTACCAAGGAAAATGATGGACATGGCATGTTGTCGAGTCTCCGGAGTTTCAGGTGCTCAATGATTGCATTCATGTGACATTGTGGACAGGATGGATGCTATCAAAGATTACATCATACATGAGTCTTCTCTATGCCAAAAAAAAAAAAAAAAAGTGAAAGAAAGAAAAGTTTTTAGAGGCTATCAGACAAATATTTTAGAGCATTTAGGCTAGGTGAGCAAACCCAAATCATGTTGTGCCCAAGATTTATGAGCCATAGAATTCAAATACGTTTAGACTCTGGGCAGGCCAAAAAATGGATTTAATAGGCAGGCAAGCCCATCTTAGTGGAGGCCTTTGCAGGGCCTAGGTTTTGGACAATATAGACCTATTAGAACTAATTTTCATTTGATACTATTGAAAATTAAAATATGAAATCCGCATGCTGAAAGCATTAATCACTCAATTGAAGTGATATTACTGTATATTTGTTATAAATACTAGAATTTTACCACCGAAGCAAATTTCTGAAAAGTAACATTATTTCTGGTGATTCACGCTCCGTTCTCTATACAAGTTTCTTTAGATTCCTCCTCTCCTAGAGTATATGTTAGGGTAGGAGTACCTCTCCGATAATGTAGGTAAGTGTAGGAGTAGGATGAATATTATCGTCGCGAGGAAAAAGAAAAAGAACAGGTAACCTCGTTCATTTATTTTACCTATGAAAGTTCGAATTCAAGTCTCACTTCATCGGACTCTTGTTGATACGTGTTATTCATAAGATCCATGGTAAATCGCTTCAAATTCACCGAAAGCATGTCCTTCCCTCGACATGAGAGAATCTTCTCTCCTTTTATACCTTTTCCTTGCACCAAACGGGGGGAAAAACCACTCAGTAACAACAAGAAGAACAACAAGAAGTCAACAACAACAACTGAATATCTTCATTGCAATACTTTATTTTACAAACGAAAGCTTTCTAGTACCTATGTCACATGCCTATGTTGAATATACTCAACCAACATGCTTCCCATTTTCAGATACATGAATTAGAAAAATTGTAGTTATCCATGTAAAAATGTGCTAGTCACATTCCCTTGATTTGGCCATCCTCCACAAACCAGACTCCCCCATATTATGCTACGGCCTTTTTGTCTGCCACAATCTCATGTGAAAGCTAAAGAAATAAAGCTTGTTTGCCCAATGCAAATGGTTTTTTTTTTTTTTTTTTGGGCCCTATTTGAACATTTATCAGAAAACAGACAAAACCAGACGCCCTCACCACCCCGACAACGACCAAAGACAAAGCTCTCATCTTGTGAGTTGTGACTGCCCAACAGGAGAAAAGAAAGAAAGAAAGAAAAAAGGGAAAGGAAAGAGGGAAAAAGAAACCACGTTTCATTCAATTTGAAATCAATCAATCATCAATGATATTATAAATAAGCCTGCTGTTCAATGTTGTCAGGAATTTGGTGCTTTGCTTTGTCAAATGTTCTCAAAGTTACAGTATCACGTTTCATAGAAATTAGGAAAAGCAACTTTGGCCTTTTATCTGTGAAGCAAGTTTTTGGCCAAGTTTTTTAACAATTTTAGTTACAGTAATCTTAAAAAAAAATTTTAACGTTTTTAAATTATACATTTCAAAATATTCAAAAATTTACACTTTAAAATTTTTTTTTATAACTTTTACAGTCAACTACAGTAAAATTTTAAACAAACATCCAAAAAACTCAATTGCCAAACTGGGCCTTTGTTTGTTTCTATGATAGTAAACTCGAGCATTTGTTTGCATTCTTATGATTCTTGATCTAACCTTTAACTATGAATATTCAACAAGCAACTGATGAGCTTCGTCTGGGCACAGGTCACTCAGTACGTTTGGATAGAGTATTATTTAAAATAATTATTGTGAGATGAGAAAATATTTAAAATTATAGAAAGTTAGTTGAAAAAACGACAGTTAAAGAAATTTTGTGTCCATGAGTTTGAATTTTAGACTACACAGGTAACTTATCAGAACAACTTTATGGACATCCCAAAAAAAAGCATCATCTAAGTAGATGGTACAAAAAAATCTAATGCCACCGAAAGAGTCAAGCCCACTAGAGCTTGCACCACTAGAAATTGCTATAGCAAGTCAAGCTGGGATGACATTCCAACTAACCCAACTAAAATCCAAGTATATATGGGGCAGCTTGAGAATGATTTGTCTATAAATTGATTAATAATTTATTAAGAATTATTATGAGAAAAAAAAATACAATTAGATTAAAAAAAAAAGAGAAAGAAGTATTAAAATTTATTCACTAGAAGATTTAACATAGGGGAGCCCGGTGAGGTACACCTTTCCTCTTGTGCAATTTCTTCTTTGGTTTTAGCATAGAAATCCACCCTTCTTGAATTACCTCAGAAGACTCTGATAAAGAAATGGATTGATCCTCATCTTCATTCTCCTTCAAACACATATTATCAAATCCGGAATTTGGAGTCTTTCTACAGTTCTTTTCTTTACACATTTCCTTAACCATAGACACCTGCAAATTAATTTTAAAAATTGATCACACTTTCATGTTTGACAAGGAAAAAAAAATTTAACAAGAACCCTTTTGGAAAAAAAAAAACAGATATTGAATTGGGGGACTAATAATTACTTTGCATGCAATGGAACAAAAGTTGTTAGGCAAGTCTTGTATATGCCTTCCACAAGCATCACATGTGGCGCCACCCTTTGATTTCTGAATTTTGATGTCTTTAGTTTGAGGCCTTGGATTCAAGTGTATTGCTTTTTCTCCATTAATTTTGTAAGTCTGTGAAGAAATGCTACATTAGCACAATGCAATTTGATAAATACGTAATGTAATTTAGACCAAAGCATTTGAATTGAAATACAAGATACAGTAAATCCAATCGAATCCAAAAGAAGATAAAATAAATTCAATTTTCATAACAAACTTAAACAAAATCCCTCTTGCTAAACAGATTAGATCAGGGCCTTGTGATGGAATGATAATCAAGATAAAGCTTTTAATGAAGCATTAAAAACCGCCCTAAAACAAAAATTGGTAAATTAAGATAAGATTATCAAGATAAGGTTGAATTGTATGGAGGTAGATAACCAGATAACCATAAAACCAGGTGGACTAATCTAATGATCAAGAAACCATTATCCCACCAAATAACATCGAAAAAAAAAAGGGACCAACAAATTATAGTTTCCAGATGAGCTAATAATTCAACAATACTCACTTGAATTTTGGAGCAATCAAGATGCTTCTGAATGTCTTGCAGGCGAACAACATCATGATAGACATATTTGCAGATTTGAAACCATTGGTGAAGGCAATGAGGAGAAGAAGAAGACATACAGTGCTTGCACAAGCCAAGATTACAATCAATACAAAAAATGTTCTTTTCGTTCTTCCTAAGATCATGGTGATCAGCACATGAACCAAAAAATTTGCTGTCCAACAAAGTATTCAGCCACTCTGGCTTTCTCTTCTTCAGTCTTACCGCACATCCAACCTTCAAAAATCAAATACAAAGATCAAACAATTAAGTGAAATTCACACATATATAGCTCTACAAACATAATGATGCAAGAATTAATATAAGGTACAAACCATATTGCTTTTAGTGCAAGATGGAGCAGCAACTGGATACGGAAGTGGACAATATAGAGCAAGAAAAATGGTTATTGGAGAGAAGAGGGTTTTAAAGGTTTTTGAAGATTGAGGCTGAGATGGAAGGAGAAAATATGGAAAAGAAAATATGGGAAAAAGAATAAAATAGGAATGGTAAGAATGGGATCTTCTGAAAAGCTACGTAAAATATGTTCACACTGGGAATTCTTTTAGGTTTTCTAATTCCCGTGAAAGGTGAAAGAATTTTTGTCGATGTGGGGCCTATATGAATAGGGGTGCCATGGATGACTGACACGTGTCACATTGATATGCAATCCACACAACTTTCCGCTAATCTCGGCCATTGCTTCCGGAGTTGTGGAGGCGCCGCTTTTGTCCCTTTTCCGCTTTCCCAAATTTTATTGCATTGACATTGGCTAATCCCATGGAATTGATCTAAATCAGCGTATATTTTTCTGAATAATGGGTATAAATTTGTGATGCCAGGTCGGAGATATTCTAAAGTTTTTGGTGAAATTTTGAAGTGAATTTTTTGTAAGTTAATTGGCAAGTTAACCAATAGTTATTGGGATTGTTGGTTCGAGGCGTTATGTTTTATCTAACAAATTAGAGTTCGAACCTAATTCTAATTGTCAGGTTTGAGGATAGAAAGGGACTAGGAGAAGGAAAAGGGGAAAAAAATGTCAATTAGCAAGTTGCATCTTTTCTAAGTCCATTTGTATAGTGTGTTTACGACAATAATAACCCTTTTAATTATATTATACACAATACATTTGACCACTCAAATGTAAACACATGAATTAGTATTGCCTTTGACTGAGATCAATAGCATGAATTATAGCTCCAAACATTGGAAAATTTAAGGGGACAAAGGCATGGAAAGTTGTCAAAACCATCATCCTAACTTTCAACGGTCAAGATTTTTTTTGACAAAGTAAAATTTCAAATAAAGTTATTGTTTGTATAACACCACATAAGTTTGAGATAAAGGACATGATTTTCCCTTATAAATAGTAATAGGTTTTTACATTGTTGTTAAAGGGTTGTGCATGTTCTTTTTTTTTAAAAAAAAAGTACAAGTGAAAAGACTCAAATCCATAATCTCTTATTTACACTTTTTCCTTTTCCATGAACCACTCAATCCATTCCTCCTCCAAAGAGTTGTACAAGTCGTTTATGATGAATTACGACATCCTATAAAGGTAACACACTGCTGAAAGGTTACATATTACTAAAGAACAATAGGACAGGTAATAGAATAATACTAGTTTATAAAAAAGTATACGCTAAACTAATATTGGTTTATATTTTCCAAGACAAATAGAGCTGCGAGTTTTCAATATTACAACAAATTCATAAGCAATTGGCCACAAGTAAAAAAATGTACACTAAGATGAAGCACTTTATTGGTGGCTACCCCGCCGGAGTTGATTAATGATCTCCAATATTTAATAGGTTTATGGGGCAAGGGAAAAAAAAACAGAAACAGTTCATTCTCTCTCTCTCCCTCTCTGGCTATTTCTTTCCTCTCTAGTCTCTAATCTCTATAAGCTGTGTATTATGTATTCCAATGTCACGTAACATAATGGTCAAAGTGATATTCTAATTAAATAATAAATTATGATAAGACTTTACTAATTGATACTTTGGGTGTAATAATATCCTCAAAGATTGTGATGATGACATTGGAAAGTAAGGGCCAAACATAAATAATCAGAAATTAAGAAAGGCTGACTTTTCTTCAATGTCAAAGACTTTTTGTTTCTCTCTATTCTTCTCTTCTTCTTCTTATTTTTTTTCTTTTCAGTAAAGAATGTGAATATAGATTTTGAATTACCAATACAAAACACAAGGAAAAAGACTAAAAATTTCAGCACGGATCTTCACTGCCGAGTAAGAGTCGAACTCTACGGGCGCTCCCCGAATCAAATTTGAATTAGTCTCACTGAATGTGGAAATATCGAGTGCTCTAAGCAAAAAAGGAAAAAAGACTGAAAAAATGATTAATTTGTAAAGAATGCGAAAAGAGAGTTTGAATTACCAAAACAAAAACAAGGGAAAAGACTGAAAAATGGAATAAGTTTCATGCAAAATGGAATCAGACGATTATATCTAGATTAACAGTAGCTAATTATGAAAATCTAGCAAAAGCAAATCGTTGAGCTATCATTTTATCTTGCTTCTTGCAGCAAAATCAAATCAATCACAGGATTACCATCATTACCTGATTTCTCGTTTGACTGCATCTTCTCTTTCTTGCAAATATTTCCTTTTCCTATAATTTCTTGTTTTTCTTCCTATTTGGACCAATGCCGCAATCAGTATATTATCACTCCCCAAGGAAAAGCATAATTCACCAGCATTCTATCAGCTTTTTTTTCCACCAATTTGAAGGAGTGGCTTTCAAACCTTCTCATCCATGCCTAGAAACAATCCAGTGTTAAATATAACCATCTCTGTACTTGTACACATGACATATTAAGATCTATGCCCATACTGCCCTGTACCATAGCAGATGGTACATAATAGCAAATTTGAAAACTCAACAACCTCCAGAGAGTTCGACATTTTGTTTCTAAACCTTCAACTATCGAAATTGACCTAATAAAATTTTCAATATTTTAACGTTCTCCTAAAAATGGGAAGCTACCATACCACTGTTGCATAGCAGAGCACAATGCATCTGTGACGATTTCTTTGAAATAACACCAAGCTATTGCGGAAATACTAATAGAAGACAATTCATTTTGGATTCAGGGCAAAAAGTGGTCAAAAATCTAAATTGGGATCAAATTTTACTAACTTATTTTGTAAGGGACGTACGGGTTTGTTTGGATTGTGTTTTATTTGGAATATTTTTACTGTAGCACTTTTTGTGATGTGATGTGTGTGAGATAAAAAGGTAATTGGGAAGATAAAAAGGTGTATTGGAAATTGTAATGATGATGTAAGCAGATAAAATTGGGGAAATAAAACACAATCCAAACAAATATTTTCAAGAGTGAAAGATGGAAAATTTCGTTTGACGAAATGTAATGGATATTTTGAACGATTTTTTTCTTTTTTCATTAATTGTATTGCATTTTTTCTGTTTTTATGAAAAAAAGTATTGACAATTCACTTTTTTCTTTCAAGGGCATTTCTTTTATGCAGTTTTGAGGAAAAGTGCAAAGGAAATTAGGTACCACTAACGAAAAATAGAGTGCCAATGGCGACGCTCGTATTGGAACGAAATGTTTTGCCTTCTGAGATTCCTTCTACTTGAATTATGGTGGTAACAAATTTGAATGGTTAAAATAAAGAAAAATAAATCATTTTCTCGTCCAAATCTCTTTAATTACTACTGCCTCGGACCCTATTTTACATCGATTCTTAAGTTTTTTTCCTAAAAGTTTTTGTCAAAAACTTTTCAATTTACCAATTTAAGAAAACCACCCACTTCCCAGTTCCCTCTGCTTATACTTAAGCTAGTTTTCAGTTAAAAAAAAAAAAAAAAAATTTCAATATATAATTCTTAGATACTAGCTGTATTTGTCTTGAACATGTGAATCACAAAAGCTGCGTAGAGTTTTGTTATTTTGCCAAATTTGTTAACGACAGAATCAATTATTTTTGTTGTGTAGGCTGCATTTAAGTGCTATTTGCCAATAAAATAGGAATTCTTCTTGTGAATGTTGTTGTACATATAAAATACTCACGTTCACATATAAAATAGTTTATTTACTTTTAATTTTTAATATTGCAAAAAGAATTTGTGAGAATATTTGTTCTAAACTAGGAATAATAGTTGATAGTATCCTCAAAAATATCTCTTACCAAATTCTAATCTGCTTATCTAAATTTTTTATCAAACCCTACATGTTTTGATTCTCATTACTGAACCCTCTTACTTGTAAATTTAAATTACCTATCGAGTACCCTCTACCCTATATGAATAATTCAATAAAAGAAAATTAACTTTTATCAAATTAAAATTAATACATATATATATCCTGTTAAATTACCACATCACGTTGAGTCTTAAACTTGGATAGGGTCATAGAACTTGCATGAGAAAAAGATTCAGACTGACATTGTCTCCATTTGCGGCTTTTAGTTAATTATGCCTTTGGCCGTGAGCAATTTCAGCAAACATCCAAGAAAAGATTCAGACAAATACTCTCACATTTCCTTAAGAATATATATATATATATATAGATATATATCTATACACTTCCTTAAGAATATATATTAATATGTTTTAATATTTATATACTGACATTATATAGACTATCAAATTTGGATAAACAACAACATACAACATTTGCACACACACATATACACACACATATACATATATATATATATATATATATATACATATAAGATTTTTAAGATCCTCTTATCAAAACCTAGTAAATTACTCGTCGATGACACTTTATAAATATCAAATCCTAACGGATAATCTATCAATCGTCTAATCGAATTAATCATAGAATCAGATATTGAGAATTTCGAGTTTTACCCTATTTATTGCCGTCCCTGTTCTAAACACCTCTAGTAATTATTCAAATCTGTGTTTAAATTATTTTTGTTTACAACATCCCAAATATGGGACAGCGTTATACTTCATATTTGGAAGTTACTTTCATCATCTTTATTGGACTATATTTTGCAATCCAATCAATGTTCTAGGTGATAGTGCGGGAATGAGACTGAAAAATGTGAGGAATTGCTCTGCTCGTGTGAGTCTTGAATCCTCAAAAAAAAAAAAATGAAAAAGCCAAAGATAAATATGTATAAATTTGAAGGGGCAATTTTTACCCAGAAACCATCCCATTCAAAATGACAGCTGTTAGCGGTAATAAAAGAAATTACTGGGGTAAATTGATTTTGATGAATAGTAATTTCCCTTAAAATCAAAAAATTCTTCAAGAATGTATATCAAAATCTACGTGGCGTATTCTTATTGGGCAAGATAACGTAATTCCGACTCCAGCTCTCGAAATCTACGTGTACGTCAATTCCCAGAGCACTCCATCTTCTTCTTCTTCTTCTTCTCTTCTTCAAAACATCGACAAAACCTCTAGAAAACTCTCATTTCAGTTTTTTTTTTTTTTTTACATTTCCTCTTCTTTTTTTCTTTTATTTTCCAATTTTATTCTTATTTTTTAATTTATAATCTCAAATATTTTTTCTGATTCAATTAAAATGCCGCTGAAATCCTCCCAACGGAAATTATCTTTCAGTACCCTGACCACCCTCGAAGCCCAATCCGACGACGTCACTTCCATTCCCCGCTCCATTTCCGATCCCTCCGCCTCCTCCTCTACCGTCGGAGACGGCGCCGTATTGGACCACAAGAAAAGGAAGAAGAGAAAGAAGATAAAAAAATCGGGAAATGATAAAGTAGCCGACCTTGATGGAGAAGCAATTGATCGGGGGCGTGGGTTTCTCCTTGATAAATATAGTTGCACCGTGGTTGAAACTTATCCGAAGGTGGTGCCGGAGGCGGAGGAGCCGGAGAGAAGAGGAAGGGATTGTTCGGTGCGGACGGTTCATCACAGTCCTCATTTGAGGCAGAGGAACGTGAGTTTTGTAGCGGAGGAGGTGACGTCCGGGGTGACGTCATTGGGGAGTGAGGCGGAGGGTAATTGTAATGGTGATAAACATAATGGAGGTGAGATTGAGAGCAAGAGTTTTAAGGAAGATGAAGCAGAATCGAAGCTGCAGGAACAGCAGCAGCAGAAACCGACCGTTGAGATGAACGGGAGGAAGTTGGAGAAAGAGGAGTCGTTGGATTGGAAGAAATTGATGGCTGAAGATCCCAATCGTAAGTCAAGTTTTGTTATTTTGTTTTTTTAACGTTAATTTTAGGGGTATAAACATCTCTAAACAAATTCAAAGAGTGGAATCTTAATGAGGTTGAAATTATATTCTAGGTTTACTTGATTATTAAAATCAAGGCCGAACTTGAGCTCTACTCGAATGAGCTTTGGTTGTTGTTTCAATCAAACAAGCTCAGACTCAAGATCAGTTACATGCTAAACTGTGTCTGCTAGCATTATATTGTTTGTTTGTCGGTTCTGTACTGTGTTTCATAGCTACCATTGACTGTTAATGGCTAATCGGAAGTGAAATTTAATTGTAGAGAATGAGGGCGTGAAAAAAAAATTCAATTGTGAATTTATTCCTACTGGATAACAATTCAATTTATGCAATTGTGAATTTATACTTGCCTTTTATAGCCAAAAAATGTTTTTTTTTTTTAAATTGTTTGTGGGAAGTTTACTTTGAAGAGATACATGCTGGCTAATTATTGAGACCAGAAAGTACAGAGTGACATGATCTTTCAAGTAGATTTCTGTGTTTTAAATAGTGACATGATCTTGTTCATTGATCATGACACATTTAGGAGGCTACCTTTAAGAAGCTATCATAGTTTTGTAACATAACAAAAGAAGCTCTTTTTGTTAGAACTCTGTACTACAAGGTCTGCTTGAGAGACATTAGGCGTTCAGAGATTCTTAAGAACTGGTGAATTGTAGATTAAGGACAGCTTGATATTTCAATGCCATGCTAGTATTTTAGAAAGTTATATTAGGAATTTTCTGCTTCATGTTATCCTGCTTTTGAGGATTGGATGTTTGGGTTGAACTGGAATTATGGTGATCTGCTAGATCTCCAGTTAGGAATTTTAGTCTTAGGAGCTGATCACAAAGATCACAAAGTACATGTTTTTGGGAATTGTTCTAAATGTGGGAAAGTTGGATTTAAAAGATTGAAAGTCTTAGGAAAAGTTTGGATGAAGTTTCAATGTCATGGGTTAAGATTTAAACTTAATGAGGCAGGAAGTAAGTGCAGCAGGAAGGAATGAGAGTTCTTTTTCTATTAAGTTCGTCCAATTGACATTATATGCGCACTTGTAATTAGGAAAGAAGAAAAGTTACACTGACAGCTAGTTTGTCAGTTGTGTAGAGCACCAAGTATGAATTGTATCATTAAGTTGGAAAATTGTTTTTGTTGTGAAAATCTTGTAAATCCTGTCTGACCTTGGTTGCAATGAAGATTTATTTCACACTCATGCAACTTGCCATTAAAATACATGCGAAAAAGGGGCTTCTTGAACTAACCATATACGAAGTCTGACTTGCATAGCAGTATTTGTAAACTGCACATCAGCATTTGCAATAGAGAATATTATATGCAGAAGAAAAAGCACTTACACTCACGCTATTAGGTGCATGTGAGTAATGTAGACATGTCTCCTATATTGTTTAAATTCACATAAGTTGATAGAACGTTTCTTCTTTCAGTACTTTGAGCTTCAGTTTTGGGCACAAAATAACGAAATTAGTATATAAGTTCTGGTTAAAATTTATCCTTTCAGCAAAACTTTTTTTCTGTGGGTCAACTGAAATCATTTCAGTGTTTCAGATATTATCAGATTGCTCTCTGTAGCTTGGAAGTAACTTTTTGTAAGTCAATGTTCATATTCTATGACAGCCAGCTTCTCCAAGGGCACTCAGTGTGATCTGATTGAGCAAGATCTTTGGAGTTGTAGCCTTCAACATCAGTACTGAGTCTTGGACTCTGATTATTATTTAAAAATCATAGTACAAGCTGATATTTCTGCTGGCTTTACATTGTTCGGTTGTCTAATAGTCCCTTTATGATGATAAAGAAGTTGAACTTGAGTGTTCATAGCCTGTTCTGACTCATGACAACATTTCATAATTAACATGATTAACAAGTGTCTACTTCATCATTAAGTATCGTGAAATATGATCCTAACTAAGGCCCTATTTGATAACTCAACTTAATGCTGAAAATAAATCCATTTAAGAGATTTTTTAAGTTCAGCATGTTTGATAACATGAATGTCTTACCACTTAATACATTAAGCGCGACTTAATTTGTGTTCAAAATTTTAAGTGCAAACTTTTCAGTGAATTTGCTGAATTGACAACAGGTAGAAGGACCAATTTTTTCATTCCTCTTTCGCTCACTCTTTTTTTTTCTCTCTTTTCTAATCAAACATAAATTCATATTCTCTCTCATACACTCTTTCTTTCACATACAAGCACACACCATTTTTCTTTTACCACACGCTCTCGTTTGTGCTCTCTCTCTCTCTCTCTCTCACACACACACACACAGTAGCACTGACATATTATCTCACATGCAAAAAAAAAATTGTTATCAAACAGATATAACTTTATTAAGTCAGCAACTTAACGTTTTCAGTCCTTAAATTTCAGAATTCAGACTTTGGACTTTAGTGTTTCAGAATTCGGACTTCGGACTTTAGTGTTGTCAAACAGGGCTAGTTAAACCAAAAAAATTGAGGGTTCCAAGGAAGATTGAATTCTGTATCTAAATGATGCATTTTATCAAAATTTTAGCATATATGCATGTTCATTTCTTGATAGCCTACTCATGTTGTTCTTAAACACCAGACTACAAGAATTTGAAATATCAGAAATTATCAGCTTGGGAGATCCAAGTAAAGTGACCCACAATGATTTTCCATTTACTCTATACATTTCCTCAGGATACAAGTTTATGTTCCCATGTACTAGTTCAGACGCTGCCTTCGAAAAATTCTAGGCATACATTAGGCACGCAGTTTATTTATGCTACTCCTGCATGCTCATAGTTGTTTTGTACCAATGAGAAGTGCAGTGTTGGTCTATAGGTTGTCAGTTATGTAATTGCTGAAAGTCCTACACAAAAGGAGAATTAATTAACACTTGTCCGAGTAGGCTTTTTTGTTCTGTAATTTTTAGCTGAATTGCCAAACTCAATAACTGATTTTCTAATTCACTGTGCTGAACATGTTTCCATTTTAGAGGCGTACCCTCTGGAGAAGTCACCTATGAAATACTTTTTGGAAGAAATGTATGCTGGAAATTCATTAAGGAGCACAATCACTCCTGGTAATGAGAAAGATCGAGAAAGAGTATATGATACCATATTCCGCTTGCCATGGAGATGTGAACTGGTGAAGTTTCTCATTTTTTCTACTCTTAAGCTAAGACAGCAGTGAATGTCCATGATACTTTTTATCTGATTTCATGCTTTCTACCAACAATTAGTCAATAAGTACAGGCTCTTTGTGGATGCTATAATTTTATCCTTCTGAAGAGTCTGCTTTGGTACGGTAGCCATCTTAAGTTGCTAATTGCATATGGGATTTAATCTCTTTGTCTAGTTTTGTCTCCCTTACCCTTTTGCGTCAGACAACTGGAGAATTCCTCATGTGTAGAAAGTGGCATCTAGGTTATAAAGACTTGTTGTATAATATCAAATTCTTGTAATGCTATAGGATAGTATTAAAAGTGTTCTATGCAAAATGAATCAGAGAGCATAACCTATGTGATGTGTTTATTTTCTACTTTGCACTGGATGCTTGAATTACATACCTATTAAATGCAATATTTGAAAATTTTTGGAGAAGAAATAAAACTACTATGAACAGAAAAAGCTATATTTCCTTGTAATAATGGTTAAGAGATCAACAAATGCAGCCTTTGGCATGCCAGCTATTTTTGACCTTGGGTTTGTAACTGATGCTCTGTTCTCATACAGGACTTATATACTGATACCATAAAGGAAGAATTTAATGCCATAGAACAGTCATTCTGAATCAATTGAACTTCTTTCTTGGACATTATCTGGGATGGACTATAACGATGTCAATGTGTTGCAGCTCATCGATGTTGGCTTCTTTGTCTGCTTTGATTCATTTCTATCACTGTTAACTATCATGCCAGCACGGATAACTATGATGTTATATAGACTTCTGAAAACAAGGTTAGTTGTTTCACGTTCTTAGTTATGCTCTTGATTTATCAGTAGGTTGAGGAATTATATTTGTTTCTCTTTAAAGAGCCATTGGGTTTTCCAGAGTTAAGATGAGTATTCTAAATGCACAAGAGCCGTGTCAGTTTACAACACCATGCTAACAAGTGATGAGATGATATCAGTAATCCAGCAAATGAAAAAGCTCAAACATTTCCATTTTAGATTGTACGAACTATATTCTAGACATGCATTTTAGTTTCCATTTTTGAAAGTAAAAACTATTATCCTTGACTTCTCTGGATGGATAGATTTTTTTTTGACAATTCTTAAATTAGGGCCAGCCTCATAATATGGGATCTCTTCTATATATATATATATATATATATATATATATATATATATATTTTGGCCATGAGGGGAGGGAGGGCAGCTGGGGTTGATGTGGTTGTGGGGGTGGGGAAGGGGGTGGCGAGAATGAGAATGTTATATTTAACTTAAAGGTATCTGGAAAGTTAGACATCTGATATTCTTGTGTTTCCCTAAAGCTTTTTGTAGAGTCTAAAATTTAGGTCCAGAGTGTTTGCATTCTAAAGTTAGGATACCATATTGCAGGATTATGAATTCCTTACGCTATACAGAAAGGGGAAAAAAATCGCTACAGGAACGTCAAAGGAATGAGAAGACACAACATTGTATCTTCCATTTCCGTAGCTTTAATTTGCATTCTTGACCCATATATTAATTTTTCACCTTGGAATGGATAAGGGACTGTAATCTTGTTTTCCTCATACTCTTTTACTGCTTTTTCTTATGTGTTGTCCTTGTCCTATCGATGTGTTATTTGACTGCTAGTTATTGTTTGACAGAAGCTCTGTAGGTTGTGAAGGAACTAGCTTGAGGCATTATCTTTCACGGTTGATTGACATTTGAATGATTTTTTTAACACTTCGTAGGAATGGAAGCTACAGATTTCTTTTAAGTTGGGTTTGTTTATCAAATGTATCAAGCTAGTCATTAGTTAATGTTGCCATGTTTTTGTGGAGTTTGTGCAAGTGCAGATTGATTTAAGTTATGATGTTCAAATTTAAAATTCCTCACTGAAGTCAAATTTCGTAAATTCTGATTTCTTGTAAATTCAGATTCCTTCTCAAAATCTTGCCTTTTACTGCTGTCAGGATAATAAAGTAATGAATTGTTTAAGGGGAGGATATTTGTCTCCAAATTCAAGGAACTTGACTGTTGTGTCCTTCGTCATTTTGATATTGCTTTCTGATTGTTTGGTTGTAGCTCAATGCTATGTAGGTTTTTTAATTATTACTTAACCATATCAATGGCAGGCAGTTCAAGAGACTCTCAGCAGCTGAACTATCTGATATTGGCTGTTTTATTGTCTTGGCTATTGGAGTCTCCCTATTACAACTAGCAGGTTCACCCTCTATAACCTTTAGTTCTTTCTTCCACCTTTTTTCTGCTCATGCACATTTAATTGGTTATTTTTGCCTGCTATGTTTATTGTTTTACTAGAACCTTCTCCCTCATAGGTGATACTTACCTTTTTTTTTGCTATCCTTGATTTGCTACTTCAGATATTAGCTGGATATATCACATGATTCGTGGTCAAGGGACAATTAAACTTTATGTTGTCTACAATGTTTTGGAGGTAAGTAATTGCAGTTGGGTTTATATTGAGATGTCTATTTGCTTGCAAAGCTACATTTCAATGATTGTACATTTGGCATTGTTCATTAAAACTTGACTCCTAAGGAAATATAGGATTCAAAATGTTGGTGATATCTTTGATATCAATGCACCCCGGAATCATTCATGATGCTGCTCCATAAATTTCGTTAGGAATTATTTTGAAAGAGATAGAAAAATGTCCTTGAACTTTCCTTCTTTTATATTTTTCCAACTGTTGCAAATTTTACTTTCTGGACCAGGAGACCTAGTTTGGTTTTATGCTTGGTGTATGTGTATAAATGCACTTAGTTTTAGTGCATGCATAATGATACACACGTGTATGTGTTACATAAATTCATATTTATGGTTATTTACATGTAAATTTATTTATGTACTTGTATATGTATGCTGAAAGACCAATATATGGATTGAGTTTTATGTTGAGTTATTTTACCTTTTATCTTGGTATTTCTGATTATATACCATATCTAAAAAATCTGTTTTGAGCTAAGTGACATCTTTGGTAGTATTTAGTGCTTACTTTGCTACTATTGTGGCTAATCATGGCTGACTAACTTAATTCCAGCATTATACTTTCATCTTATTCAAGTGCTATTATGTAATGTAGACCCAATTTTTTGTCCTCATTTTGGTGGTTGACTAATATTGTTGTCTGTCCTACATATATTGCTGTGATTACTCTTGTGATTAATCAAATGTCCAGACTATCCTTTTTAGTACATCTCTCATATTTTTTGAGGGTGGTGATTCTGAAGTTCATAATCTTCCTTTTATGACTTGGCTGTTGGCTGAGTGCAGAAAGGCAATGCTATAATCTATTCTTTGATCTTTTATTGTACTTATTGTTTGAAATGTATGTTTCTTAATCTACTGTTACTTTCAATTATCTATTTCAATTTATTGTAGAGGCTGAAAGGTCTATAACAACTGGTGCTTGCCCAGATATTTGATAGACTATGCCAAAGTTTTGGGGGAGATGTCATGCAGACGTTGTTTAATACAGCAGATGGACTTGCAAATTGTTCAGTGGAAAGCATGCAAGAATGGCAGTGGAGATTCATTAAGGATGAGGCATTGGCTGTCGGTGCATCCAATATCCTTGTCTCTAGAGCAGCTTATGAAAATTTTTTTGTTGATTTGTCATGTGACCTTTTACTCTCTAATTATGTTTTTCCTCAACTCTTAATACTTGTGCACTCATTTATTCTGTTAGCTCAGGGTATTACTCTGTCTACTTGCATAGTTGCTCATAATAATGCATTATTCGCTCTGCTAGTCTCCAACAATTTTGCTGAGATAAAGAGCAATGTCTTCAAACGTTTTAGCAAGGATAATATTCACAATCTCACATATTTTGGTGAGTAATTTTCTTTTCTTATACAAAACATTCAACTTTTGATAGCAATTTGGTTTCAACATCTATCGCGAAGCATATTATGTACCTTTCATTGGTATCTCCAAACAGATACTAGTTCTTATTTCATCTGTTTTTATTTTGTTCCTGAAATTCTCAATCTCATAATGTTTCCTCATCTCTCTAATACTTGCATTGGGGTATTGTAGTGTTGGACTTGGTGCCTCTACAATGCTCTTGATTTTCTTTTACCCAACTTATGCCTTTTTTCTCTTGCAACCTTTGTGTCTTACCAGATGCAGTGGAGCGGTTCCATATTTCAGCTTTTCTTTTGTTTGTGTTAGCTCAAAATATCCTGGAAGCCGAGGGTCATTGGTTTAAAAGCTTCCTTTATGTGAGTATCTCACACTATATATTCTGGTGATGGAACAATTGAGTGTGAATGGGATTTGTGTATATACTTGGCATCTTGATGCTTATGATTGTTAACCATACCTTGCAGAATGCTTTTGTTGTTTTTATATGTGAAGTGATGATCGATGTAATTAAGCATTCATTCATTGCAAAATTCAATGACATAAAGCCTGAATCTTTCTCGGAATTCTTGGAAGATCTTTGCAGACAGGTGTATATTTTTTTTTTCCATTTTATGTTTTAGAGTCTGTTAGCATCCTGTTTTTTGCAATCTTTTTTCCTGTTTACATCATGAATATCTACTGCCATGGTTTAGTCCTAATGTGTTTATGCATTTGTCAGACTCTAAAGATACAAACAGAGACTGGGAAGAGAAGTCTTGTTTTCGTTCCATTGGCACCAGCTTGTTTGGTAAGCATTTATTGCTCGTTTTAGTTGCTACTCAACCTGTGATTTCCTACTTTGCCGACTTTCAAAAGTCCTTTGTTGTCTTCAGTATTCAAGCTCACCCCCTTTTCGTACTTACTAATGCCAACTTAGTAAAAGCTCAGTTCGGTTCTTAGTCCTGGAGCTGAGAAAGTTTTGACGAGATTCTTTCCCTTCGTCTTTTGTGTTGTAAATGTACTACAGGTGATCCGAGTTCTGCGCCCAGTTTATGCAGCTCATCTACCTTTTAGTCCTTTTCTTTGGAGACTCTTCTGGATTTTGCTCCTGGCTGCTATGACCTTTGTGATGCTTTCTAGCCTCAAGCTGTTGGTCGGCATGGGCCTTCAAAAGCATGCCTGGTGGTATATTAGGAGGTGCGACAGAAGAAGAAAACTTCACAAAGACTGATTTTGAGAGAATAATTATTGGACGAACATGGAGTTTTAACTCTCGAAATGCCTGGAAATTCTCGTACCCCATATCGTAACAGAGACGGTGAGGATCTCCATTGAACAGCAAATCAAGAATACTGATGCTTAGATATTTGACCTGGAACAGATGTTAGTCTGGGCAATTTTGCTGAATAATGCCCATCAAGTTCATATAACTTCATGTGATACCTCAATTTTGTCTTCTTAGAAAGAACATTAAGCAAGCATTTTGAAAGTAGTAGCGTTGTACACAAACTTCAACGGCTACATATGTGATGAATGCATTGTACAGTGTTCATGATGAAAGCTAAAGTTGTGAAATAGCAACTTTGTTGGAGAAATTTTTCTGCATTTTCGAATCTCTTCTGGTACCACTGGTAGGCATTGATGCAAAAGAATTCACAGACTAAATCAGCAAATAAATGAAGTTGTGTAAAGGACTGTTAACAGATATGGTAGAGAGATGAAATCAAAATCCCATCAATACAAATATTAGAGAATGATAAAAATTAATTGTGTTTGGATTGCATTTTTTATGATTTTTTATGGAAAAATTACTGTAGCGATTTGATGTATGTGAGGAAAAAAGGTAATAGGGAAATGTGATCACGGAAAACAACGTAATTTTCTGACGGAAAATTACAATCCAAGCAAGGCCAGTTCCGGATAATGAGATTTTCACACAATCATTCACATAAACTAACTACTAGCAAGAGAACAAATAATGAAAATAGTTAAATGCAGAAATCCCCTAATTGAAAATATGGTGTCACTTCGAATAACTATTGAGCTTTTAATGGGGATTAAAATATCTTAAAGAGTGTAAAGTGCAACTGATTATATTAGTTCGTGAGATTTTACTCTAATAAAAAAAAAAAGAAAAAAAGAAATGGCCTATCATAATTTGCAAAAATAATAAATAAAAAATTGGTCATAACTCACAAAAACTAGGTATTAATAATAGAAGAATTCCATAATACTAGTAAATGCATTTGCCCGAAACCAATTAAAAAGCAAACTCAAGAGTAATTCGCCACTAAATAATACTACAAATTCTCCTCTTTTAAATACTCATTCCTCAACTCTCATTGACTTTTGGTACTGCCAAGTTCGAACTCTTCCACACTTGACAAACTTGCTATCATAGAAAAGGGAGGTATATATATATATATATTAAACAGAACAAACACGTAGAACATTCTAGCCATGCAAGTTTTCACATTATGGTGCAAGTATTGAAGCTCTCATCATCATATGGATTGTTGTATCCTGGCTGATAAGGATATGAGGGCACATATCCTACGTTTGTTCTGTCGTATGAATTGGGATAATAGCACTGCTCGTGCCCATAATAAGCATCAGCAGGCAACGAACTCCCTGCAACATGCTCGTTGCCACAGGAGTTCTCCGGCGTATCAGAATTGTAGCCGAGCCGGCGACTGTGTGAAGCGTTTGCTTTGATTTGTGGATGCTTTACGTCAAGATGAACTAGCTCTGCATGTTTCCCGGCTCTTGCTATTGCCCTCATAAGCATGTTTGGATCAACCTCGCCGTAAATCTTTGCAAGCCCTTTTTCTGCATCTATGGAGACAGAATATACCCCTACAACAGAGTTCAAAGATACAGCACTTGCATGTTTGATTTTGAGGGTATCAATATTTACTTGAAAAAAAATGATAAACCATGGGATGATGGATAATTAACTTTGATAAATGTTAATTGCACTTCACTTTTTGTTAATCACACTCTTATCATTTATTTTATCTTATAGTCTAATAAATGAAATCAATATGATAAAAAATAATATAGGAAATGCGATTAACAAAAAGTGGAGTGCAGTTAATATTTCCTGTAGATTAATACAAAAACAAAATGGCCCAAGCAATAATAACTAAAAGATTTTTTGTGAATAAAATTAACCCCCTTTTGGGCAAAATCAACTCTCTTGTTTTCCCTTTTTTTGCTTTTTGATTCTTCCCCCCCCCCCCCCCCTCTCTTTCATACTGCACTAGAGAAACTGGAAAAAGAAAAAAAAAATCTGAGTCAAGCATAGGTGTCTACACACCAATCTTAAATTAATTAATGATTCATCAAGTGAGTAACCAATTAAGTGGGGGGATGGGGAGTGAGTTAGGTAATCTGAGGGAAGAATTCGAATCCTTCCACTTACACTTGGAAAAAAAAGAATAATCAATTAAGTGATCAATACTAAATAAAAAATTAAGTGATAAACATTAATGATCGACTATTCATAGATCCCACGTCTTTAATTTGTTGTAAGATACCTTGCAATAGTCTCATTTATTCCTATATATATATATATATATATATATATATATATATATATATATATATATAGAGAGAGAGAGAGAGAGAGAGAGAGAGAGAGAGAGAGAGAGAGAGAAGAAGTGAGTAATTAAGTAATTACCAATGATGGAGCTAAGGATTTCCATTGTCTTCATCTTGCATGCATCGCAATGAACGTTCACTTTCAAAACACAAGCCTACAAAATAGTATGTAGGAAAATCAAAATAAAATTGATTTTAGGATTGCTACAGACAAGTAACATTATGAAAAAGATAAAGATCAGAACCACAAGCTACATTTTTTAGGTTTATTTCAGAAATGAACTTGAAAAGTCAAATTGCATTCGATTTGATCTGTTTCTTCTATTTTTGAGTTTCATAGGACCGAATCTTCAAATCAGTCTCATAGACAGAAAACATGATGTTTGATTAGATGTCCACCTTACCACAAAGTTGAAGTTCTACCCATTGAAAGTATTAGCAGAATAAATGGTTTTCATTAGTTTATCCAAAAAAATAAAAAATAATCACACTATTGAGCAATATTACTCTAGATTTTGTAAAAGTTGATTATGACAAGCGAATATAGAAAATAATAATTTTACATTTAATCTTTTTTTTTCACTCTTAAAAAGATCTAAAATTTAGATAGAAAAGGAAACATGAATATAAAAAAAAAATTAATTATTCAAAATCAAAATCTAAAATCACCCGAAATAATCAAACGTGAACAATATGGCGGAGCTATGGAAATACAAGCTTCACTCTTAACTACAAAAATTGGATTTCTTGCTTTTTAAGCTATTGATGTGAACCAAGCATCAAGTATAATTGTTATCTCAATTGTCGATTCTGGATTTCGAACTCAAATCCATGAATCTATTGAAACTTCCTAATATACAGCTTATGAGACCAGTACAAGATTGAGCATATAAAGCCAAAAGAACAGAAAAGAGTTCAACTTTTTTTTTTGATAAAAGAAATATCGATCCTTCCATTCCATAAAATCTGCACTAATTGCAGAAAATAGTCCAACTTTTATACTGTAATAACTAATAACTAATCACCAACAGAGCCTCAATCAGACATAATCACAAATTTATTCCTCAAAAAGACAAAAATTACATAGAAGGCGATTAAGCAGCTAAAGGCTCCTTCTGGGAAAGTGTAAACGTAGCATACAAGTCCAATCTTTGAACTTTCCCATGGCTGCCTAGGGCTAGTCAACAAAACCCTCGTGTTATTATTGCAACTGATTAAAAATTCTCCCACAATGGCAATTAATCATAAATACAATTTAAGGTGCAAGATTCATTATTAAAATCTAAAATAATTTCAAGATCTAGACAATTACTGCTTTATCTATGGGGACTTTTTATATGGTAGATTATTAATTAGAGAATAACAAAAACATAAAATCTAGGATTTACCGCATCAGCGTAATGCGCCATCGAAATCAAGAGGATGAACTTCTTCCTTTTCGTTCTCCAAATCCTCAATCAGATTTGTCAAAGATGAAGGATACTCTAATTGTTGTAATTACTTTTGTGAACAAATACATAGGGGGGGGGTACTTATAGAATTAGGTTTAGACTTCCTTTAATTTTAATCGCCGTTAAATTATATTTAGGAAGAAACCTAGTATAATTTTACATTCAATATCTTAGAAAGCTTTCCTTCGTAGAAAACTTTCCAAGTAAACATTCTTTTACTTACTTCAAACCCCATTATAAAAAATAAGAAAATAGCAATAATTCTTTGGAAATAATAATGTAGGGAAACTGTATACTGGGAAATTGGTTAATTCTGGTTTCCATATTTTAGCATATTCTAGTTTTATTATGTTTGAAATCCCAACAATTTCCTTCCATGTCGAAGATCTTGCCAATCATCAAAGATTAGTGGCCATGGTTACTGTCTGGATTTTTATGGAAGCTAGTCACTTCTTGATTAACATGTCGACTCTTGACAAATAATGAGAAGCCAGGTCGAGTTAAATTGATAATCAAGAATTTCAAACAATAATTTCAGAGGCTGGAAAAGGTTCGACAATCATAAACTGGAAAATTCATCAACCATCAGAATTGGCCTTTTCGGCTTAGCACGGGAGAAGTGATCTAAGATTCTGTGTTCATTAAAAGTGAAAATTGCGTGACGGATGAACTTAGAACAATTTGCCAAGCCGAGAGACCATTATAAGATCTACGAATGTGGATGAGTACTAAATCAACCTAGATTGATAATATGCAATGTAACGACTGATTCTCTATATGTGCTTTTTGCTTAGCTTGCACGGAACTGTAAACGAATCTAATCAAACCAAATATTTTAGTGTTCAAATTTGTTTGATTATTTTATCGAGATTGAAATTCTGTTCAAGTTTGACTTGTTTATCTATCGAACCAAATTCAAACGAACTTCTATCGAGCCAAATTCGAATCAAGCTCGAGTAGATTGAGTTTTTTATATATAAGTTTCAATTTTATGCTAATCGAGCCAAACTTGAGTCGAGTTTGAACATTATTGAATGTTAAATGCTATTCAAGATTTATTTGACTACTTGGAGAACTAAGTTTGAACACGCTCCAACCAAGTCAAATTTGATTTGAGTATTTAACCAATTTGATTTATCTTTCAATCCTTATACCTAGCATTCGAGTATTTAAACATGAGAATAGTTAATTGCACTCCCCTTTTGTCACCGGTGCTCCACTTAAGTTCATTAACAAATAATTAAGTACAAAAATTTTCCATTATTAACAATTCCCCTTTTTTTTTAAAAAAAAAAATCCAATTATGTAATTTCGCTCAAGAGTTCAAATACTGAAATTACTCCAAAAAAAAAAAATTTTTTTTCCATACAGTACATTACACCACAAACAACCAAGGTTGGAATCACCTTATTGGCCCCTAGACCTAGACAGCTACCTACAACTTGTGTCATCATATGGAACTATGCTTTTATTTCTTCATGTTCAAAAGCTATAGCGTAGAAATCTGGGAATTAATACAAATCAGCATAATAGACCACTGACGATCCAGTA